CATGGAACAGGATGGTATCACTTCACCAAAGTTTTTTAAACTTGCCCAGAAGAAACATTTAAGAAACTAGATTAGAGGGGGGGAAATTAAAATAAGTATGTGTGCATACATATAAGCATGCATATAATACATATATATATATACATATGTGTGTGTGTGTGTGTGTGTGTGTGTGTGTGTGTGTGTGTGTGTGTGTGTGTGTGTGTGTGTGTGTGTGTGTGTGTGTGTGTGTGTGGTGTGCATATACATATACATATACCTATATATGCATATATATATACATATATATGCATATACATACACATATATATATATATACATATACATATATATATATATATATATATATATATATATATATATATATATACATACATACATATCCATATACATACACACACACACACATATATATATACATATACATATATATGCATATACATACACACACACATATATATATACATATATGCATATACATATACATATGCATATACATATACATATACATATATATATTCATATATATATGCATATACATATACATATATATATCAAATACATATACATATACATATACATGTACATATGCATATACATATACATGTACATATGCATATACATATACATGTACATATGCATATACATATACATATGCATATACATATACATATATATATGCATATACATATACATATACATATATGCATATACATATACATATATGCATATACATATACATATACATATACATATACATATACATATATATATATATATATATATATATATATATATATATATATATATATGCATATATACATATACATATACAGTAAAACCTGAGAAAACCGGACCCTGAGAAAACCGGATCACTGTCCATTCCGGACGATATTCTCAGTCCCTTCCCATTTCAATAGGCGGCCTGTGTTAAAAGCCCTCTACAGACCGGACATTGGCAGCTATGGAAACCGGACGGCTTTTGGCGTGAAAACCGGACGGCCTATTGTTTTCAGGCCGGTATCTTTGTCGCGTGTTTGATTATTGTTACATTAAAAACAGCTGTTTTACCTGAAATCTGTGTTTTAGTGGTCTTTTGTCCTCTTTGTGTTTCGTTTTCACACTTTAACGTAACTAAGTGAAATACGTGCCAATCACGGGAGGTGAGAACGATCTGTTCACTCATTCATTGAAACATTTAAAGTTTACGTAAACAAAGGACGTAACCCGTCAATCATCGAAGTCGCTTTGTCGGAAGGTCGTTGAAAGATAGTCAATCAAAACAAACTGTCACTTTGAAGTGTGAAAGACTTTCTTGTGAATGTTTCGGTCACATCATAAAATGATTCGGTACATCAAACATAAAATTCGGTCTTGGGGTGCAGTTTTTCGGCATATCAAACGCACCAAAAAATTTAACCCATTGCCGCCGGGGAAAATGAACAGAAAATGGGGGAAATGCAGTACTCATTTTTTATATTTTTTGTGAAATATCTCTGTCCATAGATAGCTCTGCTTGTCCTGATTTCACCTTTCCTTGAATTGGCGGGAAAAGACGTATTTTTACTAGTGCTATAAATATAGATGGGTGTTATTTTTAACAGCAAATTAGGATAACGTTAAATATTTTCGTAAACCGATGAAAAGGGAAAGGAAATTAATTTTATTAAACCGACTCAATAAATGTGGATTTTGACTTGTATATGTACGTGTAGTTGCGTGGTGTATGTGTATGTGAACTCAGAAACCCTAAAGTGTTCAGTTTGTAAACAAAAGAAATTGGCCCCGCCCACCCTCTCCAAACCGAACCACTGTCCAAACCGGACATTTTTTACAGTCCCATGGGTGTTCGGTTTTCTCAGGTTTTACTGTACATATATGTGTGTGTGTCTGTGTCTATATATGCATATATATATACTTACATATACACATATACACATATATACATATATACATATACATACATATATACATATATACATATATACATATATACATATATATACATACATATACATACATATACATACATATACATACATATACATACATATACATACATATACATACATATACATACATATACATACATATACATACATATACATACATATACATACATATACATACATATACATACATATACATACATATACATACATATACATACATATACATACATATACATACATATACATACATATATATATATATATATATATATATATATATATATATATATATATATACAAATACATATACACATATATACATACACATATACACAAACACATACATACACCTATTCACACACACATACATATATAAATATACATACATATAAACATACATATATATATATATACACACATACACACACAATATATATTCATGTGTGTGTGTGTGTGTGTGTGTGTGTGTGTGTGTGTGTGTGTGTGTGTGTGTGTGTGTGTGTGTGTGTGTGTGTGTGTGTGTGTGTGTGTGTACTGTGTAGCTTGTAGCCCAAGTGCCATCTGCCCAAATACTTGAGGCCAATAATCGCTAATTTCAACAAATATGTAAACAATTGTAAAAACTTCTTTCTTCATTTGTTCTTCAAATTCAATAATCAGGCATAACACCTATATTCACTCATTTACAAAATCCCTACCGAGGCAAGAAAGAAAAACGTACCAATCATCACAAATTTTTATTTTTGGAAAATAACAATTATAGGTTTAACATACAAAACACTAATATCAATGTTCAAATTGCAGGATCTCCTAACTAGGCTTCATTACTTATAAGTTCCAGTGCTGTTTGGCTTCCCTTATTGGGCATGCAAGGCAATATATTATTTTCCTTTTTTTTATGAAGCTGCATGACACTTGGAGAAGCATCCCCTCTTCTAACACTGGATTTGCTACAGTTTATTAGTTACTGCAAGAAATATTATGTTTATTAGTGTGCCATGTGGTTTAACAGTGAAACTAATTGATAATTCAGATACCCATTTTCTTTGCAAATACTGCATTTAAATAATACTATATAACTAATTGCTCTTTTACATATATGATTTTAATATCAAATCCTTATACAAAAATGCACATCTTTTTCTCCTCTAAAAATGCAGAAACAAACGGAAAAAAATATATAAAATGAAAAATAAAACGTAATCAACCCTGGTGACTATGATACCATGGCCTAAAAGATTTTAAAAACAAGACTGAAATAAAAGCACCTGAATCACCTGGAAAGGTCACAGTACGTACAACCTAGCAATCACCGTGTCACCTACCAAGGCTTGAAGTGCGAAAACGCCAGAACACTTTGGAAATGTGTGGAAATCCAGTATTTGAAACACTGCATTGTTAATAAGGGTTTCTTTCACTGGGCTAACTGATTAGAAAAGGAATTCAAATTTTCCTTTTTCGAAGGCAAAAGAGAGAAATTAAATCAAACATGTAACATGGAATTTGTTGGCTACCGATGATAACATTCAAGCAACCCATATTAACACTGCAACTGCCTTGAGAGCAATTCTGAATTTCAAACCCAGACATTACTTGACAGCAAAATTAAAATATGACATAGAAGGTACAGTTCAAAACTTAAGATTGTAGCACATAACATCAACAATCTGTTAAAATATACAGAATTACAACACAACTTAGCAATATTCAACACATTCCCTGCAATAAGCTTTGAACAGCTTCAGCCAAGAACAATGTCACACGTCAACAACCATAAATTTCCATGAAGTCTTTTACACATTATTACTGACCTATTATTATAACTGTTAACTAGTGGAATCAATTTTCACAAAGGAACTCTTCAATATATTGCAGGCAAATCAGTACAGGAAATTCTCTACTGATCTTTTCATTGGCATGTTTACCTTTCAATATAGTTTTAGGTTTTCTTTTTTGTTAATATTCTTTAATCTTCTTTAATTTAACCAGCTATAAATATAAACTCAAACTCAAGACTAAAGAATAAAAAATCTGAATACATTTTTCCAACACACTGCAATGAGGCACCATCATCCACAACCCACAAGATGGTTTTATTAAAAATTAAGGCAAATTTCTAGTTAACTGGGCCCTAGTTAATTGCTTTTGAAATGGGAACGTAATGTATTCCAAACTAAAGATCTTTATATCATAATTTCCTTTTACCTACATGTATTACTGATAACCAGATAGGAAGACATATGTCAGCAGTACTTACTATCAAATAACAATTAACAGAAGCAAGGCTTTAGCTTTCCTAGTCTCCTTTTTATGCCAAATTATGCATTTCATACAGTGCGTTTTATGTTAAAAACGTGTATACACATATATATGGCAATAACATCCTGTAATTACAAATAAGTTAATGCTAGCAAGTCACAGAACACAGAAGAATTGTACTCACACCAAAAGAAAATAATAATGACAATAATGAATAATGGATATTAATGAATAAGTAATGGATAATGGATAATGAACAATAATAATAAAAACAATAGCAATAGCAATAGCAATATAAATAATAATAATAATAATAATAATAATAATAATAATAATAATAATAATAATAATAATAATAATAATAATAATAATAATAATAAATAATAAATAATAATAATAAATAATAATAATAATAATAATAATAATAATAATAATAATAATAATAAAATAAACACAAAAGGGGTACGACTTAATTTCTGAGAGGGAGAGGGTGCAACAGACAGAACAATAACTTAAAATTTAAAAAAAAATGGAAGCAAAGAAAATCTTTCAAACAGATATATTAAGTACGTTGACAAGAGACCTTCTTCCTTCTCAAACTCCAAAATACAAAGTCTCCTTTCAGGTATAAAAATAGTATAACGTACCTACGCCATACTTATATAGTGCTTATACTCTCCAAGACTACCTTTCCTCTTTTCAACCTCTTTAACAATTTTAAGGAATCCATAAATATTCGAGAAGGGAAAGACTTTCGGAAACTTCTATCCACTGCATCTTGCTTCTGGTTAAGAATTTTTTTTTTTTTTTTTTTTCTTTTTACAATTCTGAGTTGTAAGAGTGTATTTGGGGGCATATTTGTAAATTAGCATGAGAACATCTGTTTGTATGTGTCTATGAACTATTTTAGTATATATGTGTTTATATCTTTTTGCATATCAAATCAAACAGATGCCAATCCAATTACAGGTGGGGAGTGGGGGGGGGGGGGTAAGAATGGGGGTAGGAATGGCCAATAAGAACAGGAATGGGTAAAAGTATAGATGTGGGTGTAGGTGTAAGGGTAGGTGTAGATTTAAGTGTGTGTGTGTGTGTGTGTGTGTGTGTGTGTGTGTGTGTGTGTGTGTGTGTGTGTGTGTGTGTGTGTGTGTGTGTGTGTGTGTGTGTGTGAGAGAGAGAGAGAGAGAGAGAGAGAGAGAGAGAGAGAGAGAGAGAGAGTGAGAGTGAGAGTGAGAGTGAGAGTGAGAGTGAGAGTGAGAGTGAGAGTGAGAGTGAGAGTGAGAGTGTGAGTGTGAGTGTGAGTGCGAGTACAGGAGTAGGTGTGGGTGTAGTTGTATGTCTGGAAGCATTTGCATGTAGGTATGTAGAATGAATCCTAATCCGAGATTACAAATCTATCAAATACAATCTCATTGTATACCTCTGTAATTTCATTCTGAAAATACTTGCATAAATACTGATCCAAAAGACTATCTAACTGGATAAAATTTACAACTTTTGACAGTAAGTACCACTATCAATACAGAAAGTTCCTTCCAAACCAACCAACACATACTGGAGTGCATCCATGAATACGAGAGTCCAGGAACCACACTCTCTAAACCTTTCCTCTAGAATACAGAAATAGGACCCCAGGCTGAAGCTCAAACTGGCGGCTGGTTGATTAGCTCTACGTAATTGGCCGGGAAAAGACCGAACATCCCATCAGGACCAATGCCTTGCCACCATCCCTCGTCAATCTGGTCGATGTTGGTGATAATTTCAGATGGGTCGAAGGTTATCTCACTGTCATCAGCTGGAAAGGGAAACACATGACAGCAAGAACTGAAGATAATGTTAAAAAGTAAAAGCAGGGAAAGCTTTGATTCTCATGGAAATGGAGAGCAACTCGAGCTATGATGATGTATGTGAATATATAGTAATCTTATAGACATAGAGAAGAATTCTGAAAAATCTCAAAGCTGCAATTTTGAAAACTTCAAAAAGTTTCATGAAAATCCTGCTATGGAATGAGTGACAAATATATTACATAATATAAAAATTACATCATTATCATGGGACTCCATTGTATAAGTCATTAATTTATTTAGGCACTAAATTCTTAGAAATGTTTAGCCCACATCAGAAAAGAAACTACAGGCTTGTTACCTAAGACTAAGACTGGGTCCCTTATAGAACTTACTTCTTATATCTATCAACCATTAACCATTCATTAAATAAGGACTACTGAACTACCACTCAATCTCCACAAAGACAACCTTATCATATACTACGTACATAAATTATTCCAGCACTAGCCATAAACAAGGCATGAAAACTGCACAAGAACTATGAACAGAACTATAGTCTTACCAGCCTGGTAGTCGTAGAGGGCCCTCGCACAGAGGCCATGTTCTGGCAGAATCTGGTATTCTACACCCTAGGAGGGGGGAAATACAAGGTTTACACTAAGAGCAATAGTTAACTGAATTGTTGTTATGACTAACATGCATGTAATATTGTATTACATAAAACAAATAATCAAAATAAATAGTAGTGATACAGACCATCAAATTTTAATCCAATCACCACAGATTTATATAAAGTCTCCTATAATTTTTTTGTGAATTTTGTTAGCTCAAAATTGACATGTGCTCAGCCAGCAAGGAGTCTAGCAGTAGGCCCTAGTGATCAATCCTGATTTCCCCATTCCTTTAATCAGCAGGAAAATGTGTTTTTCTCTTTATTACCAATTGTTATTTATTATTATTTATTTCTATTACCATTGAAATTGATACTGTTATAATTCTTATTGACATTATGATTATTAAATTGTTATTAAAATCTTGTTAATACTAAAGACAATGAAATAATACAAAAGGCACTTTCCAAAAAAAAAAAATGGGGGGGTTAACAGGTGAGATAGGTAGGACTAATTTTTGACTCCTTGGTGACAAAGCACTTGTAGAGACATCTATGTGTGAAGATAATAAATGAACTTATATTACAGTAGGCATGGAATGTCTTCTTGCCATCCATGCCAATTAAGTTAACAGAAACTATCATTACTAAATGTATTATAAAGATTACTCTTAAATCCAAGATGGATTAAACTTTTCATATTTTGCTATAGAAAAATTATCCATTGAAAAAGGTGGTCAACACTGTATTGGCATCAAGGCATGGCTAATGACAGTTGTCAAGGCAGTGGCACCATTCTTCATTATCAATCTACGAGTATCATTTTGGTTTGGTGACTAACAATTGTAATTGTCATTTTCATTATCACAATTACTCCATTACTTACTAA